TATGTATACACAGAAAAATCAAACAAATCTAACATTTTCTTATGCTTGGTGTAATTTTCAAGAATGAAGATCCCACGAGTCATGCTCTGAACCCATCATCAAAGGTAGCAGGAGACAATACTATATATACAATAACATTCAGAAAAGCGGAGAGCTACTCAATGATTGTATATGCCTATGTTTCCTTATCCAATGGAAGAGAAAACAATTGTCCACAATAGTGATGTTCTTTCTGGGTTCTACATACAAACCCATCCAGTAATAAATGTGTGTGAATTCTGTGAGTGGCTGACAAAAATAAAAATTATAGAATCAAGGGAAAATTATTGATCTTTGTTAGTTCTACCAAGTAAATTAACTTACTAAACAGCAGTACAGACATGGTTCCCAGAACAAATGCCTCCTTCTGTTCTGAGCATTTATTGTTATTTAATAAGTTTATTTGTTGTAGGCGGCAAAAATAATTCTAGAATTGTTAGCTTCAACTTGCTTTTTTCTTTCTGCTATCTGTTGCTAACTAAATTACAATGAAGACCAACTGATATTTCAGTGGAATTATTATTTTTCTTTCTCTCTACAGAGTTAAGATAAACTTTTTCATAGAATGGAGCATTGAATAGGTGTTAAACAACTAATTTGAGAGAGCTGGCAGGATGGATTTGGATGGCGGTCTATGATATGGGTTGAACTAAACACCTGAAGACCAGGGGACCTGTTGTTAAGAATAAATTGTCACTGTTCACAAACAAAATGAAAATTTTGAAGGGGGAGCTTGGGTGGCTTAATTGGTTGAACATTCGACTCTTAATTTCATCTCAGGACATGATCTCATGGTTCATGAGTTTGAGCCCTGCATCAGGCTGTGTGCTGAAAGCTGGGAGCCTGCTTGGGGGTCTCTCTCCTCCCCTCTCTCTGCCCCTACCCAGCTTGTGCACACACACACACACACACACACTCTCTCTCTCTCTCTCTCTCAAAATAAATAAACTTTAAAAATTTTTTGGAAAAAGCCCCATAAGAAACCAGCAATTGGTTGTGACTTTTCAATGCTTGAAAGAAAAAAAAAACAAAAAACAAAAAGTCAACTGTATTTTCAAAGGGTGAATTCGCCTCATACTCCCCTAGGCTCATTTCTAGTTTTTGATTCTAGGCTAATGGGTGCAGTTCTGCCACAAAGCTGACATTTGTCTCTTCGTTGTCCCACCACATCTGTATGGACATTCTGGAGGTCTCTACATTTAGGTAGAGAACTGCTGGGAATCTCTATGCCCCCAAATACTAGAAATAAGTGCAGGTGAATTAACTTCTCTGAACATTTATTGAGTACCTGGCATGTGCTGGGTTTTCTACCAGGTACCAGAAAGTCAAAGGTGAGCAAGAAATCACTCTTGCGGTGAAAAAAAACCTCACAGTTTGGTGGAGTAGGTAGGAATCATTCTTAGGTAAGGCATTATTCTTAGGTAATAAACACCATTCTTAGGTAAGACAGACTACAGACAGAGCTAGAAGACAAAGTGCCATGGGAGCACAAAAGAGAGATGTCAGTTGTCGCTGTGGGGTTTGTTGAGGTGAGTAAGAGTTAAGCTGGGCGCAGAGGCTCTACAGCTGATTTCCAGCATCTGTCCACCTCTCCTCTCCCACAGTGGGATTGCTCCCACCCTGACTCCAGGAGTGAGTGCTGATTGATGAGCCAGTGATCCTCAAGCAGACATGATACCTCTCTGCCAGAGGGCAGGGACACTTTTGGTTGTTATAACGACTGAAAAAGATGCTGTTGGCATTTAGTGGTCAAGGGATAAGAATATTAAATGACCAATAAAGTAGGAAAGGGACCCAAATCATGAAAAATTGTCCCCCTAAAATGCCAGTGGTACTCCTATTGAAAAACATGAGTCTAAACCAATCAGAAAAATCTCATCCTGTATCACGTTGGGGAGTCCAAGTTTCAGCCAATTAGGTCCCAGCATCTCCCTGTTATCATTGCGGTCCAATCAGAGCTCTGGACTTTTCTTCAAGGGGTCTAGACAAGCATCCTTTCTGTCTGTCAATGGGTGTGTGGGAAGAAGCCTGTAGCCCCATCTAAACCCATTCTAGATAGCTTCCCATTCAGTCCATATAATCTCAGTTTGTTTAGGGGGTTGGTTTGCTTGTTTGTTTCTTCATTTTTGTTATTGTTGTTTCTAAGCAAATTATTAGAATGGCATGAATGTTGTTGTGGCATCAAGTCTAAGTAAACTGTTACATGAATAATGTTTTGTTTTCATCCCGGAGCTTTGGAATGACTACAGAATTCATAATATTGCCGTAAAAGGAGAAATGAGGGTGAAACAAAAATAGGCAAACTTATTATTTATGGTGTAATGAAGAATGTAAGTGGTGCCTGGTGCAAATTGTGAAAACCCAAGTTAAACTTGCAATTGTGTGTATGCATGTGCATAAAAGAAAAAGAGAGGGAGGGAGGAAGGAAGGACACAGTGATTATCTTCATGAATAACGCTATTTAGGCATTTATGTCTTACTCTTTTACAAGAAATTCCGTCCCTTCAGGTTGCAAAACCTCCTCATTAAAGAAAGCTAAAAGAAAAAATTATCAAGCCCTGTGATTACTTAATCAAAGTCCATGAACATGTTCTAAATAGCTTAAAATAGCTCTTTTTATGCTTATTAATAACTCTCCTACTGACATAAGATTAGTTGCTCCTATTCATAGCTAGAAAATATTTTCCTACGTTGTCAATCTTTATGGTCTATTAAGAACAAAGAGGAAAAAGATATCCAATTACATTTGAATTGAGAAAAACTAACAAGACATAGAAATAAAGCTCAAGTTATTTTTTATACACCCAATTTTCCTCTTGTAACACTTCTAGAGGAGTATTCGGATTCCCAGGTGACTCAGCTGAAAGGAAACTACATCCGGAAACAGAGGCAGCTGCGAAGAACAGAAGAGTCGCCAGTACCTGGATGCTGGTCAGAGTCGTGTACTGGTAGGCCTTGACCACCAGGTAATTTGCTTCCAGGTCGATGAGTCCCAGGATCATATACTTCCACCACCTTCGTCGTAAAATTGCCAGGAGGTTTTCTTCTCCTGTGTTATGAAGGTAAGAAGAAAGGGGTTAGGTTCTGAACACACGTTCTAAAGGTTCTAAACTGCCTATTTAGAAGGATTCTAAAATATTACCGTATGATGTATTTTTTACTGTTCCTTATCAAAAGTTTAATTAGACAAATGAGTTGTGTCCAAGACCGATGTGTTTTTATTGTACATTTTGGCCTTTCGGATTGGTTTCTATGCCAGAGGAAGCCTGGGCAGGATTTTAGATCACCATGCAAAGCATTTTCTCATGAGCGTTTCAAGGAAAACACATTACATCATGTAAAAATAAAAGGAAAGGTGTGCCAGAAAGGCTGCATACACACACAGAGTCCAAATCATTCCAAACTTCAGTATTGTGGTAAAATAGAAAGGAATGAAATGAGGGCAGCTCAATGACAACGGCCTATGCTTGGCAGCTGATCTGCAGTTAGATTCCAAGACTCCATCCTGAGCGCTTGCTCAGCTTTGAACATTACATGCTCTGAACATTATATTCTGGTGGGGTGTGGGTGAGGAAGTAGGGGTCATTCTCAGATGGAAAAGAGCCATAGGATCATGGGCTGAATATTGCCCCAAACCCTCACCATCTTGCCTCTTAAGACTATAGCATCAGAACAGATTTGGAATCCCTTAGTTTTTCATCTGTATTTTTACATATTTCAGGCCTGAGATAAGCCTTATTTTTCAAGAGGAAATCATGATTGTTAATAATAATAGCTCTTTGGAGCCAACCTGTGAGGTCTTCCTAGAGGATGGTGAATATGTAGAAACCCTGAGTGAATGGTGACTGTATTCATTATGTATTGCTGCACAACCATTATCCTAAAACATTGATGCTTAAAAAAAGAAGCATTTATTATCTCATAGTTTTGTGGGTCAAGAATCTGGACACAGCTTAACTGAGTGCCTCTGTTTCAAGATGTCTCAATTGCAGCCAAGTTGTCAGCCATGGATATAGTCATATCTGAAGGGCTGACTGGAGAGGGATCTGCTTTTTTTTTTTTTTTT